GATTCTTTTCACTTCTAAAATCAAAACTTCCGTTTTATCCATTGTTTGTACCCTACAAGCAAATTGGAAAAGCCATATGCACAAGTTTCTATTTTAGGAAATGATGCAAGGGAGGTGGTACGAGCTGAAAAATTCGCTCTTGGGGCAATCTCGGCGGTTGACCGCGCGAACAAATATTTGTTCGCGTTCGCGTTCGCATTCTATTTGAACGGCCCTCTATAAAATGATGAAATCATTCCATGACGAAAAACCACGTTCGCGTTCGCGTTCGCGCTCTGTATAAATGCACCTTTAATGTGGTTTGTCTAGCTATATCCTAGAACAGGTAGGAACCGGTAATTGCTTTTGGTTGGCCATTGTTTGTAGGATCATACATGGAGATCGATTAATTGTGCATTGGCTCAATAATTGTACGAATACTGCAGCTCAATGCATTAGCAATGACCATTGGGGGGAAAGTATTCAGCAAGTCAGATTGCTTGTTTCCACTAATTTCATTGAATGCGTTTTTATACGCCCACATGGAAATGTGGACATAAATTGCCGTCGCTCCTGTCCGTCGGTACAACATTTCTTGTGATCACAATAGAGACTACAGTTTTCAACTGATTTTAATGAAATTTGGTGTGATCATTTATATCGATGATTGGTCAAGTTCGAATTTGACGAACTTTCGATGAACGGTTTTTGTATGGAAGGGTTTTTGGGTCAAAATAAGATGCTCTGTTAAATTGTCTAATACTTATTATGATACCGTCAACTTTGTCAAATTGCTTTAGTAAATTGTGATAAAACAAATGTGTTTTGTCATTTCCTCACTAATTATACGTTTACATATCATTTTGGTATTATCATTTTAAACATATCATTTTCTGGTTATGGTGTAGTGGTTATTTCCCCTTGAGAAAGTAATGGCTGAAAACTTACATGTCAACCTTTTACATAGATATTCATAATTTTAGTAGTTTATGTAGTAAGAAGAGGTTGATAGGGCCAATATTTATCGTATGTGTTAAGATCTATTGTGTCCTTTTGTCGAAAATGATATGTTTAAAATGATATGTAGAAAATGATGATACCAAAATGATATGTAGAAAATGATATGTTTAAAATAATAATACCAAAATGATATGTAAACGTATAATTAGTGAGGAAATGACAAAACACATTTGTTTTATCACAATTTACTACAGCAATATGACAAAGTTGACGTTATCATAATAAGTCTTAGACAATTTAACAGAGCATCTTATTTTGACCCAAAAACCCTTCCATATTTTTGAGTTATTGCCCTTGACTTAAGAAAAACGCGTCAAAATTTGTTTGTGAACACCACAGAGACTACAGTTTTCAACTGATTTAATGAAATTTGGTGTGATCATTCATATTGATGAGATCTTGGTCAAGTTTGAATTTGACGATCTTTCGATGAACGGTTTTTGAGTTATTGCCCTTGACTTAGGAAAAACGCGTCAAAATTTGTTTGTGAACACAATAGAGACTACAGTTTTCAACTGATTTTAATGAAATTTGGTGTGATCATTTATATTGATGAGATCTTGGTCAAGATTGAATTTGACGATCTTTCGATGAACGGTTTTTGAGTTATTACCCTTGGAATAGGAAAAACACGTTAAAATTTGTTTGTGAACACAATAGAGACTACAGTTTTCAACTGATTTTAATGAAATTTGGTGTGATCATTTATATTGATGAGATCTTGGACAAGTTTGAAATTGACGATCTTTCGATGAACGATTTTTGAGTTATTGCCCTTGACTTAAGATAAACGTGTAAATATTTGTTTGTGAACACATTAGAGACTACAGTGTTCAATTTATTTTAATGAAACATTGTGTGATCATGTATATTGGTGCGATAATTTGATGTATTTGGGATATTGATGTTGATTTTAAAAAAATTGGTGGAATTTCTCAGTATCAATAAATGGCAGTAAATATATATATCATTGAATTCAAACTATTGAAATTTCTTCAATCTATGAGAAAATTCGTACTTTAGTCACTAAGACTGTTATATCATTCCTGAAAGCTGCCAGTGGGCGTATGTTACCTTGCCTGGCAAGCTATCTTTATTTTTTCAGATTCTTCATATTGGTCAAAGGGAAATAAATATTATATCTAAGTTTTTAGTAACTGGTGACCTAGTGATTGTGTCAGTCTACAACAAAAACAAGGAAGAGCGCACATTCCATTTTCTGCATGTATCTGACGATCAATGGAAGTTAATAGAAGATACCAGTGGTACTCTTTGTGTTACTGTTTATGGTGTTCGATCTGAAAATTACCAAGTTGTTGTCAGCGGTCAGATAACATTACACCATAAAGATGATAATGATACCATATACATGCTTAGCATGAATAACCATACACAGAGAACAACTAGTTTATTTCATATACAGGTATATAGGTATAAGTCAAGGAGTTCAGAAAAACATCAACTTATACATCATTACTTTATTTGTTTTTATGTTTACTCTTTTACCCCGACAAAAAGATGGCTTTTCGCATGGAAAATTCGAAATTGAAAAATAATCTTTCCTGTTGCAGGAGTAAAAAATTGAAAACCAAAATACTCGAGGGTGTAATTAAGAGTTTTAACCAATCATAAACGTCCAGTGCAGACTGTATAAGACAAATACAAATTGATCGTTCTATCGAGGTCATGAATCAGATTGTAAATGTTTAAATGTTGTAAAAATTAGTAACTGAGACTGAAGTTTTGTCTGAACCAAGGAACAATATTAAATCTTCTGGATCCGTACCTGTTTGTCTATGTTATTTTGAATGGTAGCTAAATGTGTAAGAAGCATAGATGAAAATATGTGCGTATTTAGAAGATCTCTGCTCATAATGTTAACTATGAGTACTTAGTTTGTAACCCTTTGAATAAAATTCAAAATCTGAATTTCCAAATCAGTGGTATAATTTTTGATTTTCTGTCAATCTACCAAAATGAGATGAAACATTAGCCATCTATTGAACAAACCAATTTTTCAATTCCAAAGCCAATTAGTCAACCATTTATCGAACTAGGCTACCATCAACACGAAGAACTAACAACATCAGCAGTGAAAGATTTGTGAAAATCAAATGAAAACTTTTGTTTCTCTACAGCTATACTTATTTTGCTATTTTGATCTCTAAACTTTTGGAAAGTTCTTCCAAGATTTCATAAATTTCCACCAGGATAGGGCCTACTGAAAAGCGAAAGGGAATCTTGAGTAACGACAGAGCCGTCATGTGGGCATAAAAACATTGTTGAGTTATTGAAAATATTAAGATAGATAGGAAATTATAAAAGTTTGATCCACACTAGCTTTTGATGGCTCCGTCAGTGTTTTTTACATGAAGGTCATGGTTGTCATATTGACCATTGAAATGTGGTATACTTAGATCACCAAAGGTTTAGATTCACTTGCATTCTGTTAAAACATATATAAATATGTTATAATGGTATTTTAGCTGACATCAATTAAGAGCTGTAACTCCCTATTTAAGCTATTCTTTATGACATTGGAGAAGATCAAAAGGGCCAGATCTGGCCAGTTTCTGGGATTGTTGGTAGGACTGTGTATAAATAAATGAAAATAAGGGAACCAAACTATAAGACAATCTGATTTAAACAACTTAGTATTTCTTTTAGATAACTAATTGTAAAAATGCTCTGTGCATGCTAATTACAAAATATTGGTTGATGCAAGCCAGTATCAAAGGTTGATTATGTTTTCTACAATGATTATTATTGTATGATTGTAGATGGAGATTGACGATTTCGATGTTGAAATTCGCCAAAATGTTCAAACTACTAACCTTCAAACGTCAACTATCGAGTTTCATTGTCCTGTAACAAGAGAGAGCCCAAAAAGTTACATCCACATGCTTAAATCTGATGATGGTTGTGAATATATCAGAGAAATGAAACACGAATCCGATACAATATCTTGCCAATGGAACTTACAATCAAGATATAAATACCAGTATAAAATATTCCATGTTAAAGAAGCGTCTACAGTGATCCACAAGTACATGGTCAAATCAGCTTCTAAATGTCTCTCTTTTGTGACACGTAAGTACAAATTGGAGATCGAATTTAGTTGGTATACTTACGGTTGAAATTATAGTAACAATAAAAATCAAGTGAGGTTAACTCGGGATTACAATTCATAATCGTCGTAAACTGCTTATATTCTCACTTAATAATTAAGTATTTATCATTAAAGGCATTTTCGTTATTCGAGATCACAGGGGTTAACACAGGTTTAAATTCGCAATTGTCACATAAAGATTATGTTCTCACTTGATATTCAGCTTATAAAAGGCATTGTCACATACAGCTTATCTCGAATAGTGAAAATGTCTTTTATAAGCGAAATATCAAGTGAGAACATAACAGGGGTTAACATAGAGGTTTAAATTCGCAATTGTCACATAAAGATTATGTTCTCACTTGATATTCAGCTTATAAAAGACATTTTCACTATTCGAGATCACAGGGGTTAACATAGAGGTTTAAATTCGCAATCACATAATGCTTATATGTTCTCAATCGATACAAAAACCATTTCGAAAATGAGTCTTTGTGCAAGTTCTGAAAAATCAGTAGTACCATGTTATATTTGATGGACTCATTCTAAGAGAACACTATCGGCGGGTCAACCTACAATTACATGCCTTTATGAACATTTCGGACACTAGCATCTCGTTATCAACTTTAACTGTAACTTTATGTTTTCTTGTCGTTTAGATGCCACAAAATCAGAAATAAGTGAACTCTTTAATTTGGCTGAAAAGTTCAGAGCAAAACGATTAAGTAACAGACGCACAACCAAAACGATTCCAGTACCATATTTATATCGAAACAAACCAAGAAATCATGAAACAATCCAAGAAGCTCAAAGAACTGGTATTATGGCGAAATACATCAAGGACAATAATGGAGACCAATCATCAAGTATCAATAACCAAATTCATGGACTCTTTTTTAGTGCCTCGGCTTGTAAGAGGACAAAAATGCCTCCTGAATTTAGTTATTTCGGTGATTACCGTCTGATGATTCCCCCTCAACATCTGTTACCAAATCTCAACATATATTTTGCTGATTTTTACTGCCAAGCACCCAAACGACCACATTATGTAACATTGGTATTAACTAAACCAGGAAGCGTGGAAGATGTGTACTGTAGCCCACGATTACCCAAACTTAATATTCATTCCAACAAATTTTTGTATTATGATCCTCATATCGGTTATCGGGTCACAAAAGCCTGTCACATTGAATGTCTTTATACTGAGGATATAAATTTGACTTCAATGAGAGAGAAAATAGGGGTTGTTGAAACCAACATTACAAATGTAAGGGGTAGAGGCCAAAGTCGTCCGGAGGGCATTCCTAAATATGAACATTGTGAGGATTGCAACTTGCCCAAAAAGTAATTTCTGATATCCGTTATGAGTGGAAATGTTATTCCAACTCTAAATAGTTTGAAATAAACTATTTTATTATGGATGAAGTCATTATTTAAAACCCGTTTATTTAGTCCCCAGATTCAAAGTAAAACAATAAATATGTTGTATGATATCAAATTAAGCGGCATTATAGATTTTATTTGTCAAAAATATCAAATCAATCATGTCGGTTGTAACCCTGTCACACCAGACTACGAGCATTTGCTCTTCTGAAAACAGTCGACCTCATACTACGGCTATGCGACCGTGTTGCGTTCTTAAGTTTTTGTAGCGTCTTTGCAACGCGTGTACTGCGCTTTTATCAAGGAGATTTTACAACGCTTCAACGCAATTGTACATGTCCAATTACAAGCGCCCTTACTCAGTAAATAGTGGCGACAATGGCGAAAATTGCACGATGCCTCTGTGTCCTACACGCTTATACCACTCTTATGACGACCAAGCCAACTTTCCGTAGCAGTGTAGTAAGAACGACTTTCCGGTGTGACTGGACCATAAAAGGTGTGTCATTATTAAACAATTAAATTATTTAAATGCAATTGAAATAGATATTTTTATATCATAATGTTAAGATGTCTCCCAAGGAGTTTGTATTATACCATAATCATATTATATATTTGTTTTAAAATGTGCTTCAAACATTCTGTTTATATATGGAATGTTATATAGATATTTTTATATTATAATGATTATGTTGTCTCCCAATGTGTAGGTATTATACCAAAACTGGAAAATGATACCAAACTATTTTATTTATGGGTGATGTGCTCATTTTAAATCCGTTATTCGGTATATAGATTCAGATTATTTGTATATCCTAATCAAATTAATTCATGATAATATGTATATAATTAGTAAGTTAAAGGCATTATAAGTGTTGAAACAAAAATATTTCAACACAGGTCAATCAAAATATAAATCTATATGAAAATATTTCGTTATTAAACTTTGTTTATGCAGTTTGTTTTTGTTTGTGTCACAATTTTGCTTACTTTTTAAAAGTCATCTTGGAAAACAAATCGATATGAGTATATGCCCATTTTTTATCATCTTCACAATGTCAACTTACGATCTTCGTATTAGTTCGTAATAGCTTGGCATTATGAAGATGATTCAAGATTCGGGCATCATTTTTGTGTTGAAAATTTGACATGAGTCATGTTTTTTCTTTTCATCGTTTTGATTTCTTGATACTATATATTTGTTTTAAGATGTGCTTCAAGCATTCCATAAATTTTCATTTCATGTTGTTTTTTAAATACAATTTAATTATTTTCGATTATTCTCCATATTCTCCATGATCTTTAGCTGAAAATTAATAGTTTCACGAAGCAGGAATTGTGTTCAATCGGGTTTATTACCTTTAATTCGGTGATTAAGGGCAATAGAAGATTTATCATTTTGATTGATACGGTCAATCCATCCATCATGGGGGGATAATTAACAATGTCACAAAATTAAGAATTGTGATACAAGCCAAATTCAAATATGTTTCAATTGATAAGAACAATCACTCATATAAATTTATAATCATATTGATATTTAACCAGGTTTTGTATGATTACGACATAGATGTGTTTACGAGTCGGAAACTCTGATATTTATATGAAAACTCAAAATTCGACCTACCAATATAGGCTTCATTTTCATGGTTTTTGGTGGTAGTGGAACAATTCACCAGACGTTACTTAATTTGGAATGAAAATGAAAGTATTTATTACACACTCACAATAATCTCTCATCATGCAGACACGTAGTAATAATTCTCATCAGTGGCTTTTCGATATTATCGTTTCATTTCCTGCATCTAAATTGGAAGTGTCATTTTGAAAAAGCCAGTTAAAATTTCTCTGCAATCACGTAATTGCACAAATTCACCAATATACCCATCCTAAAGTTGGCTTTATTGCCACAACAATAATTGTATAATATATGACCAAAATATGGACATCTCGATATGAACTATAGATTTTTATTTTCAACAGGGTTTATCCTGATCAATTAGAAACACTTTCACCAAAATTGGTTCAAGTCCCGTGAATAATGTACCTTTTAGAGTATTTATCAGCTAATTCAACTCGTTCGAAGAAGAATTCGAATGTTTTTTATTGGTATTATTATTGGTGGTAATGATAGGGTTCATTCTTTGTTTCGTTTTGTCAAAATCCAACAAGAATTATGCCTTTTAAAGGGTTAACAAGATACTGTGGAACGGACAGATGGGCGTAAATGACAACAATATGCACATTTTATGTAGAGATAAAAAACGATACTTTGTTTTGAATTTTAAGTTCTATTTTGTCAACAATACAATGGCTAGCAACGAAAAATTGAAGCTGAAGCAAGACATCTAAATCAAATTGAAACATTAGTTAAACCTCATGATGAATGAATTGCAGGTATGAAAAAATATCATTTCAAAACTGAAATGTGGGGGAAACAAACGAAAAGTCCAAGAAAATGAGTTTAAACATTATAACATGACTATTGGCGTTAACAATCTGGTATTTCAAAATTCAACGAAAGTTATCTTGCAGATATACAATATATGAAAGTGTCATAAATAATCCAACGGATTTAATAATATTCACCTTAAGTAAATAGGCCTACTATCTGTTATCCACGTTGCCACACAAAAAAAAAGTCTGAATCAATAATCGTTAAAAAAATACCACCACTAAACCATTGACAATGTCATTATTGACATTTAAAGGCTAAGGGTGGTATCAACAGATCCCTTAAAACCAGAAGACCTCGATTCAGATCTTGGTAACGTCTTAAAACAGGAGCAAATCATACCGAAAACCTCCTGCATCGTGCGTCTTCTCAAGCAATATGTTGCTAATTTCAATAAATGGAATGTTATAGTTGTACTAATAAGAAAGATGTATAAAACAGAAAGGTACAATGTGTCCTGTAACACAGAAGTTAAACAAACGGTGGCATAATATAAAAAAACCGTAATAAGTTGAATGACATACAATCTAAATATCAAATAAGTAAGTTTCAAGCCAGCATTAAATTCTCTCATTGTATTATTCGGTCCAACAGAAACAACCAAAGCGATTTTACGTATTTTGATAAATGCGTAAGCGAATACGACGCCTGGTAAAACAACGACGTTCAGAAGTTGAACTACTAAATACCATATCGCCCTCGTGGATAGTATATATGCAAATATCACGGTGTAGGTTGGTGATAAAATAGAGGTGTCTAGTAAAATACAACATCCTACTAGTGAGTTCAACACCCATTGTAACATAATTATCAACATCCATTTCCATTGACATTCAGTGACATGACTTAAACCGGTTTTAAATGCTCGATATATGATAACCATATTAGATGCCATCATATAGAAAACTATATAAGCTAAAACATCGTTTACAATTTTAAATACAAGAAGTACATGAAAAGACAGATCTATCTTTAAAGTGTTTAGGATGTCATAAGTGAAGTATAAGATTTGAATTCCCAAATTCGCAAGTATATCATTTATCCAAATAGTTCTACAAATAGTCGTGATGGTTGATAAATGATAAACTGATACAGCCAAAAAAATATATTCTGCTATTAAAACAATATCCAGTCCGATAAAGACAAAATTTATATACTGGAAGTCATCCGTAGCATTCCGACTATAATTTGTCAGATTCATTTTCTTTTACTTCTTGGAGATAACCGTAAAATTTCATTCAATTCTTAAAATATTATAAAAGGAAAATCTAGTGTCGTATACAGTTAAAGTAACCATCCCAGGTAAAAATTATAACCATACAAATTTATTCTGAACAATGTATAGAATACCAAGATACCAAATGTATTGTTTAAATCTGTAACAAGTGTAGAAAAACTTATTTTCAAGCTATCCAGATCATTGAATAATAAAGATCTCTGTTTAAATTTTATAGTCTGGTCACCTAGATGCGTGAAGTCACAGAGAGTTCCTTTTTCACACTTTTAGTAAGTTGTAAGCTTATGACGCTTATTGCTTAATTGTATAAAGTAATATGAACATAATTATATAACGTGATACAACGTGTGTCAATAATTAATCTTATCCACCGTGTAATAATGTACTGTTATTACAATGTATCCCTTGCCAGGCGGTAGTTATCTTCTCAACATCAGTTCGTGAGAGATACCCTTACAACCTCGTCTCCAAGAAAACCTAACATGCAGTTGAACGATCAAAGTAACCGCTAAGTTGTCACCCAGTTTGACTATCAGTCTTCTTTCAAAAGAAATTGGAACGAGCAATGATGACAACTGCTTAGATCGACTAGATCCAGATGGAATCGGTCAGGTTTTCGTACCTAGGGATAGTGGCATTCTTTAAAATTCCGTTTGTTCCTGATTCTGCAGTGGCACGATCGACCTATAGGCCCACCTTTACTAAATTACTAATTGTCAGTGATAGAAAAGTCCTCCGATTTTCCGACTTACTGATCCTCCTTTCCTAGTCCTTACTTGATTCTTTTTTCACATGAAACGATCACTATGTTCTATTTTTTTCTAAAAGCGGCGAGTAAGTGCATCTTTAGCCAACACAGATTTTTCATCTAAAAATCCTCTTCGTCGTTATTAATTTCAGGATCGACTTCCATCTGAGCCTATTACTACAATGCTGTTACCCAGCTAACCCCAGATAAACGCGATGTTCTCGCTATTATGACGACTGGTATACGAAGCTAGTTTGTACCATTTACTTATTTGTAAAAATCGATAGATGGAAAATTGGTTATGTCATAATATTTTATCATAATCATAGAACAAACCAAGAAGGTTGAATTTGAGGGAATAATCAGAGGCATTGAAGGATTTTATTATTATTTTTTTTAATTTATTTCCGTTAATTCAATCCAATTCAGAATTATCTGTTATACTAAACTTACACAATCATTTACCACTCATCTCTAGCCCTTTTAACAGACTTATTATGTCAGTATTTTTCCAAAGCAAACAAT